GAGGTCATATGATACATGTCTTTCTCTGATTGACTTATTTCACTCAGCATAACACACTCCAGTTCCATCCACGTCGTTGCAAATGGCAAGATCTCATTCCTTTTGATGGCTGCGTAATATTCCATTGTGTATATATACCACATCTTCTTTAACCATTCATCTGTCAATGGACATCTTGGCTCTTTCCACAGTTTGGCTATTGTGGACATTTCAGCCCTGCCTTTTTTCTGAACCTTGTTCCCTCCCATAGGCAAAACTGTGGTTAAAGCCTAACCAGCTGACTCCAGTTTGGAAGTGTACCATTGGTATAAAACCTCTTTTACGTTTGGGGCCTCTGGGTGGCTCAGATGGTTGGGTGTCTGCCTTCGGCTCAGGTCATGATCTCAGGGTCCTAGGATTGAGCCCCGCATCGGGCTCCCGGCTCAGTGGGGAGCCTGCTTCTTCCTCTCCCTCTGCCTGCCACTCCCCCTGCTTGTGCCCTCTCTCTGTCAAATAAATAAATCTTAAAAAACAAAACAAAACACGTCTTTTACAGATTCCCTGGGGGCATGCAGTGCTGGAGACAAACTATCATTCATTCTGTCATAGATTGTTGGAAGAATACCTCATCCAAGGTCCAAGACAGAAAAGGTAAGTTTTCAGTCTACTGGGCCTGGTAGCAAAGGATTGTGATGGGGAGTTTGATCTGGAGGGTTAGGAAAGATGGAGCTCTGAAGGAAGAGTAGGAGTTAAGGGGAAGAGGGAAAGAAAGAGAGCATTCCAGGAGTTGAAACCCTGTCAGCCACTGGTAGGGAATAAAGCCACAAGTTGGGTAGGAGTGGGAGGGGCATGCTGAAGAATTTGTTTTTGTTTTTTCCGGTTTTATTGAAATATAATTGACATACATCACTGTAAAGTTTAAGGCCTACCTCTTGGTGGTTTGATTTACATATATTGTGAAATGATCACAACAATAGATACAGCTAATTCCGTCTTCTTATGTAGATGCAATGAAAAGAAGAAAAAAATTTTCTTTGTGATGAGAACGCTTAGGATTTATTCTTTTAGCAATTTTCCAATGTGTCAGTACAGCATTGTTAGCTATTGTCCTCATGTCTACCTTACATCCTTACTATTTATTCATCTCAACTGGAAGTTTGTATCTTTTAACGACTACCTTCCTCCGTCTCCCCCTCCCCCATCACCCACCTCTGGTAACCACAAGTCTGATCTCTTTTTCTGAGTCTGTTTTTTAAGATTACACACGTAAGTGAGATCATAAAGTATTTGTCTTTCTCCAACTGACTTATTTTACTCAGCATAAACCTCCAAGGTCCATACATGTTGTCACAAATGGTAGGATTTCCTCATTTTTTGTGGCTGAGTAATATTCCATGGTGTATATACCACAACTTCTTTATCCATTCATTCATTGGTGGACATTTAGGTTGTTTCCATGCCTTGGTTCTTGTAAATAATGCTGCTATGAACATGGGGTACAGATATCTTTTCAAGTTAGTGTTTTCATTTCCTTATTTCTTAGTGTTATATATTCCCAAAAGTGGAATTGCTGGTTCATAGAGTATTTCTATTTTTAATTTTTTGAGGATCCTCCATATTGTTTTCCATAGTGGCAGCACCAATTTATATTCCCACCAACAGTGCACAAGGATTCCCTTTTCTCTACATCCATAGATGTGAGACCAGACCCCCCTTGTCTTTTTGATGATGGCCCTGAAGAAATTATTTTTGTCCGAAGGGTGGAGGAAGCCACAGAAGGGATTTGAGCAGGGGTACTTCACTTTTCAGGTTTGCATCTTAGCAAGGTCATTCTGGCTGCGATCAGAGTGGGAGACTAGTTTAAAGACTGTTAAAGTCACTCAGGAGATATGGGGGGGCACTGACGATGGAGACAATTGGAATAAAACAGTAAATTCTTTATTTTTTTTTTAAAAAGGCTTTATTAATTTGACAGAGAGAGGACAAGTAGAGTGGCAGGTAGAAAGAGAGAGAGAAGCAGGCTCCCTGCTGAGCATCAGGGCAGGGTCCTGGGATCATGATGTGAGCCGAAGGCAGACGCCTAACCAACTGAGCCATCCAGGTGCCCCTAAATTATTTTTTAAACTTAATTTTTTTTTACTTGCTGTAAAGTATACATAACAAAATTTACATTTTTTTAAAAGATTTATTTATTTATTTATTTGACAAAGAGACATACAGCGAGAGAGGGAACACAAGCAGGGGGAGTGGGAGAGGGAGAAGCAGGCTTCCCCCCCGAGCAGGGAGCCCAATGTGGGGCTTGATCCCAGGAGCCTGGGATCATGACCTGAGCTGAAGGCAGACGCTTAACGACTGAGCCACCCAGGCACCCCACAAAATTTACATTTTTAAGTGTACAGTTTGGTGGCACAGGGAAGTACATTTACTTTGTTGTGTAGATGCCATCACCATCCATTTTCAGAACGCTTTCATCTTGCAAAACTGGAAGTTTTGTGCCCTCAAAGTAGTTACTCCTCAAATCTCTCTCTCTTTTTTTTTTTTTTTATTTTTTTATTTTTTATTTTTTTTTTTTAAAGATTTTATTTATTTATTCATGAGAGACACAGAGAGAGAGAGAGCGAGAGAGAGGCAGAGGGAGAAGCAGGCTCCCAAGGAGCAGGGAGCCCGATGCGGGACTCGATCCCAGGACTTTGGGATCATGACCTGAGCCGAAGGCAGACGCTTAACCATCTGAGCCACCCAGGCGCCCTCTCTTTTTTTTTTTTTTAAGATTTTATTTATTTATTTGACAGAGAGACACAGTGAGAGAGGGAACACAAGCAGGGGGAGTGGGAGAGGGAGAAGCAGGCTTCCTGGGGAGCAGGGAGTCCGATGTGGGGCTCGATCCCAGGACCCTGGGATCATGATCTGACCGAAGGCAGATGCTTAACGACTGAGCCACCCAGGCGTCCCTCCTCAATCTCTCTTTATCCCAGTCCCCAACAACTACCATTGTACTTTCTGTCCCTAAATTTGACTAAGTGCCTCATAAGAGTGGAATCACACCGTGTTAGTCCTTTTCTGATTGGCTTATTTCAGTTAGCATACTGTTTTCAGGATTCATCCATGGTATAGCCAGTGTCAGAATTTCCTTCCTTTTCTTTTTTTTTTTAATTAAAAAAATTTTTTTTAAAGATTATTTATTTATTTATTTATTTGACAGAGAATGAGACAGCGAGAGAGGGAACACAAGCAGGGGGAGTGGGAGAGGGAGAAGCAGGCTTCCCGCTGAGCAGGGAGCCCGATGCAGGGCTAGATCCCAGGACCCTGGGATCATGACGTGAGCTGAAGGCAGATGCTCAACCGACCGAGCCACCCAGGCCACCTGAATTTCCTTCCTTTTTAAGGCAGGATAACTTTGTTAAATGTTCTTTAGGTGTTTATTGTATATACTGTTAACCTTAAAAATAAAACTCACTTTTTTTACCAGCAAAAATTAGTTTATTTGGGAATAGCAGAGTATTGCTATTTGGGACATGCAAACTATAGCAAAATGATAGGCAAATCCAAAGAACAAAGGAGAGAAATTTGCTTTTATAGAGGAAGGGGATTGGGAGGGGCTTTTATAAACAAAAAGTACATGTTGGATTAAACTAGGAGTTTGAAGTATAGTGGCTTTTCATTGGCTGTAACAGTTGTAATGGTCTTTCATTGACTGGGCTGTTGCTGGGCGAGGAGAAGATCTTTCTTCCTCCTGCTGGGGTAGTAAAAAATAGGCTTCTTCCTGTTGGGAGTTAAAGGTATGTCTGTTGGGGTCTTTCTGTTTATTTATTTATTTATTTTAAAGATTTTTATTTAATTATTTGAGAGAGCGAGAATGAGAGAGAGAGAGCACATGAGAGGGGGTAGGGTCGGAGGGAGAAGCAGACTCCCGCTGAGTGGGGAGCCCGATGCGGGATTCGATGCAGGACTCAATCCCGGGACTCCAGGATCATGACCTGAGCTGAAGGCAGTCACTTAACCAACTGAGCCACCCAGGCGCCCTGGGGTCTTTCTGTTTAATTGATGAGGACTGATAATGCGTGAGAGCTCCTTCTGCTGGCCTCCCAACTCTTTTATTATTTAATTTTTTTAAAGACTTTTTAGAATTTATTTTTTAAAAGAATTTATTTATAAGAGAGAGAGCACAATGGGGCGCCTGGGTGGCTCAGTTGTTAAGCGTCTGCCTTCGGCTCAGGTCATGGTCCCAGGGTCCTGGAATGGAGCCCTGCATCAGGCTCCCTGCTCCGCGGGAAGCCTGCTTCTTCTGCCTCTCCCATTCCCCCTGCTTGTGTTCCCTCTCTTGCTGTGTCTCCCTCTTTCAAATAAATAAATAAAATCCTTAAAAAAAAAGAGAGAGAGAGCACAAGTAGGCAGAGTGGCAGGCAGAGGGAGAGAGAGAAGCAGGCTCTCTGTTGAGCAGAGAGCCCAATGCGGGGCTTGATCCCAGGACTCTGGGATCATGACCTGAGCCGAAGGCAGACACTTAACCGACTAAGCCACCCCAGGTGCCCCATAAAATTTATTTTTTTATTTTTTAAGTAATTGCTACACCCAGTGTGGTGCTTGAACTCACAACCCTGAGATCAAGAGTTGCATGTTCCATCTATTGAGGCAGTCAGGCGCCCACATTTCCATTTTTTTTTTTAAATTTATTTGTTTATTTGTGAGAGAGAGTGTGTGTGCACATGAGGGGGGAGGAGCAGAGGGATAGAGAGAGGAAGAGAATCTCAAGCTGACTCTCCGCTGAGCTCGGAGCCCAGCATGGGGTTCTATCCCAAGACCCTGAGATCATGACCTGAGCTGAAATCAAGAGTCGACCGACCACTTTACTGACTGAGCCACCCAGGTCCCCCCCATCTCCATCTTAAATGAGGTTCCCTTTATTCAGTTTCATAATATATACCTTATTTTGTTATTTTTTCGTCTACTGGGGTACACCTAGGCTGCTTCCACCTCTTTGCTGTTGTGAATAATACTATTATGAATATGGGTATACAAATATCTTTTTATATTCCTGCTTTCCATTCTGTGGAGTATATACCCAGAGTGGAATTGCTGGATCATGTGATAATTCCTCTTTTTAATTTTTTGAGGAACGACCATACTGTTTTCTACAGTAGCTGCACCATTTTGCATTTCTACCAACAGTATGCAAGAGTTCCAATTTGTCCACATTCTCATCAACACTTGTTTTCTGTTTTTTTTTTTTAAGATTTTATTTATTTATTTGAGATAGAAAAAGCACACATGAGTTGGTGGGGAGGGGCAGAGGGAGAGGGAGAAGCAGACTCCCCAATGAGCAGGGAGTTGGACACGGGCTTGGACATGGGGCTCGATCCCAAGACCCTGAGATCATGACTTAAACCAAAGGCAGATGCTTAAGCTACTGAGCCACCCTGGTGCCCCTTGATAATAGCCAACCTAATGGGTGTGAAGTGGTATCTCATTATGATTTTTATTTGCATTTTCCTAATGATTAGTGATGTTGAGCATCTTTTCATGTGCTTGTTGGTCATTTGTATGTCTTCGGAGAAATGTCTATTCCAGACCCTTGCCCATTTTTTGAGTCCTGTCATTTGTTTTTTGTTGTTGTTGTTGAGTTTTAGGAGTTCTGTATATATTCGGGATAT